TTGGCGGCGCGGAGTCCTTATCGTGTGTGCAGCTGCTGGAGGCAGCGTGCAAGGAGGAAGTGAAGATGTTCCTCCGAGCTTTGCGCCATGGGCAGACCCCGCCCACGCTCTCTGCAGCGCCCGTCGCGTGGCAGCAACGTCTCCTCCAAGAGTCGGTGGCTGCCCCATCGTCTGGCGCAGGCGCGTCAACTGCGTCGTCCGGAGTCCGTGGAGCGGGTGCTACTACATGTAGTACTTCTACCTCGCCAACGGTGAGTTCAAGCATTCCGGTTCATCGGCACTTCACAATTACATCCAGTAACACTCGATACCGATTTCATTCTTGTATCGTATCTTTCAATCCGGATTCGGGTCGCGAGATTGAAGGTAGGGGGGTGCTGTGAATGTCACCTCAGATTATTGTAGATTGGGACGTCAGATGACCTGTCGGAGATCTGTCGTTGGGGTGTTGCCACAGATAGAGGTGGACGCTGAACCCTGCTGCAGCGGGCTCGCTCCCCCCCTGACTCACAACATAATTGTACCTCTTCAGCCTCTCCCATAAAAGGATGAACCGGTGTGTATCCACACCACACATCCCGAAGGGAACTCAGCCACACGCAAGCCTGGAGACATCCATCTCATATATTGTGGTATTTCACTACCCCTTTGTCGTTGTTTGTCGTGGTCATTGTTAGGCTATTGTTTCTCACTGCAAAAAAACTTGAGGACTCTTGGGACTACTGACTTGTGTTCACGGAAATGTCACATCCCGAAGGGAACTCAGCCACACGCAAGCCTGGAGACATCCATCTCATATGTTGTGGTATTTCACTACCCCTTTGTCGTTGTTTGTCGTGGTCATTGTTAGGCTATTGTTTCTCACTGCAAAAAAACTTGAGGACTCTTGGGACTACTGACTTGTGTTCACGGAAATGTCTTTTCGTTCGGCGTTCATCCGTGACCATGTAAGTACTTGTGCCAACCACCGAAGTCGTATCTCTTTCCGCACGGGATCCAGGAGGGGCCGGCGATGCTGGCCGCTATTCCTGCAAAACATGTCAGACTCTCTGCCGTATCTCTCGATGCTTGGTCAAGTCGTTTAGAGGGTCGCCGTAAAGCATGTACTCTAGACCTGCGCTGACCTGGTCATCTTTCTTGAGACTAAAATGGATGCTCTCAGTGGGAAGGTAGGTGTACTGACCGTGAGCGCGTGAGATGTTAATGCTTCGTGGGTGGTCGAATGAGGTCCCTCTCTGCCTCTCTCGCTTCTTTCCACCAGGTGGTTTCTATGGGTGGCAGCTTTCTGCGTGTTGGTGGCGATCTGCGGGCTGTGCTCCTGCTACGTGGTGACCCCGATTGTTCGAAGTTTCCGGGAGCTTCTCGGCATGGAACACGGTAAAACTCCGTTTTGTTTTTTGTTCGCCTTTTTGGGACCAAATCCGAGCCATTTTTGTCACTGAGCACACAAAAAATACTGGCGTACCTTTAGCTTCTTATGTCGAACGAACACTCCGTTGGAAAACTGTGAAACCTTAGACGCATTCGGCCTCCCCCTGCGAACTGGCGTATTGGCATCGGCCATCGACCATCACTGCAAGATTGACGGCAGAGATTGATGAGCGCCCTTGCGGGAATAGTTGTCTCCAACGGGCAAGTTGTGGGAGTGTTTATATCTCGAAACAAGACGGCAAACCTATCAAAGTTGAAATACCCGAGGGCCATGCCACGCCACTCCGCTTACAACCCCGGTCTAGGGTTTGGTCCACACTCTTGCCGTCCGGCCGTTCGTCCTCAGTGGGAGTGCGAAGTATCACAGCCCGGATGGTAGTGTTCTCGCGAAATTCCCATCAATCGCAAGAAACCTGTCAACAGAAGCCTAAGTGGTCCATCCGTCACAGCGTAAGGCGACAGATCAGAGAATGGAGACCCATGAACGTGTCCCGCTACTCCGGACAATCGTACTTCTCTGTCTCCCTGGGGATCCTAGACATGGTATCTCTTGAGCTGGTATTCTTGGAACTGTCAACCAGCACATGTGTGGCCGGTTTTTCGATGGTTGCCGTAACATCGCACCAGTAGTCGATTTCCCTCGCCTCCGGTCCAGAGTTGCTAGGAGCGCTCCTCCATACCTCTCGTCCACCTGCAACCACACACAAGATGGTTATGTGTGATCACCTCATTCGGGCAAATCCCGCCCGCAGACGCCGCCACACGAATCTATCTACACAGCCGTTGTTTTTAAATCGTTGGATGCCTGGTTCAGGGCGGCAACCAAAGGGCGTTGTCGTACGGCAGGACCAGCACCCGCACCAGCAGAAGCACCACCACCACCAGCAGCAGCAACAGCAACAGCAACAACAGGATCGTGGTCGACTGCGAGGAACAGGAGAGGGAGAAAAACGTTATGCCCGGGACAGCAAGGTGGGCGTTGTGTTTTCGTCGGTGGGAATCTCAGGTCGCATGACAACCAGCCCCGTTCTCGGCAAGTTCGGCTTGGATGTTTGCGTTTCGCGGCCACACCAAGCACAACAACGTGCACCAGTAGGGACACCAACATCGCCGTTGTCTGCGCCGAAAAGGACGAAGCAGCAGACGACTTCTAGACAGAACAAGATGAGAAGAGTACTTAGGGTGCCTGCTTAATACTTCTAGTATATTGGTGGTCTGAGTCAGTTCATTTTCCAGACTCGGAACGCCAGGTACGCGCACGGCCATAACACGCTACATCCATCTCACAGGAGCACACAGCTGATGAACCCTGTTGAGACTCCTGCTTACACATTGCTCATATTTCATCGTGAACTCTCCGTTTCCATCCGTCCGCCCTGACTCCTGTCCCTAAAATGCGTCCACGCCTCGGGCGTGCCCTGCCGTGCGCCTTAATACACGTAGCACGCGCGGCCGAAGTCACACCGCCAACGCTATCACCACTGGTACCTCGACGACCTCCTCAAGATAACTCCCCAAGATGAAGTTGAGTTCGGGGTGCGCCATTCCCCCGCGTACACCGCGACGCCGACGCCACGGGTGTCCAGAACAGCTTCGGGCTTGGCACCGCAGTCACGGCGACACCATAATCACCCCCAGCATCGCCCTCGAGAGCGACGAGCGTCGTTCCCCATATCGCCCATGTCAAGCCGCGGCGAGCCTTGCAGCAGGTCGGTGCTGTCGGCCCCCGCGCGCAGAAAGAGCAGCGACTACTACTACGACGACTACCACGCTCATAACAGGAGGCACAGCGTCAGCTCGGGGACCAGAAGGGCGGTGGCTGTCGTGGACGAGCCGGGGATCGGAGCCGAAGCCACGTTGAGAGGAGGCGGTTGGATGGGTGCGGCAAACGGCCGCTTGTAAGCTAGAAATATCCGTATTTTTGCCATCGTGTCCGTGTCTGTCTGTAGATAAACTCGTTGATACTGGTTTTTGTTGTTGTGGTCTTGCCCGTCGTGACGAAGGAAGGGCCGTCCCTCCCGATTTTCTTTCTTTTTTTTTTCGGCCTATTGCCCGTTTGTATTTTACCATGGCAATTAGCGTTCGATTATTTGTTCGTTCACGGAACGAAAACGTGAGTGGTAGATCCTCTTTTTCTGGAACGCCTAGTCTCTCTTTTCTCTTTTGTATGTTGTGTGCTGTTTGCTTGTCGCGCATCGGATCCGGGAGGTGCTCTATTTGACGGCGGTGAGTGCAAATATGATAGAGCTTGCGCGTGCATACGAGCATCCGACGAGCTCGCTCGTGGAGGGCACGGGTGGAGACGTAGAACCAACGCGACTGGCGGGTCTACGCTACCCGGCTAGGAAAGGGGGCGCTGTGACCCGTCTCCATTCACAATATAACGACGTGGGGATCGAAATAGCGTTTCGCGCTCAGTAAACAGTGACGAATGGACCCCACCGCCGTTAAGAAACACGAAGATGAAGTGTTCCATTGTCACCACCAAGTATAGTACCCTCGCCCTTGAACCGGCATCGTGTGAGATCGGAACCGGAACCAAGGAGGTGTTCTCGAACCGCGGGCAGTGCCCTGGATCAGGATATCTTGCTCTGTTGGAGATTGTGCGTACCATCTGTGTAAGCTCACGAAAACCTAGGACAGTACCCAGGTGAGACCTTAAGGAGCGCTAGAGTGCTTGCCGACACCCTGGAATTTATTGCGTTTCGTCTTTTCATCCGGCTCAAACTTCATAAACGAAGAATTCTGAGTCTCAAGCATCCTGCAAACTGAGTGCTTTATGCCCTAGGGCGGGCCGGGATCTACGCCCCGGTGCGGTATCGGATGTACGCATGACTTGTGAGTGCACGCTGATCAATGTTCGAAAGGTGTCCTGGGCATAATCTGCACAGGGGGACCACCGGAAAGTAGTGCGGGCGGCCACTCGGCACATTGCTGCAGTAGTGGGAAACATATACGGCTAACACCGGGCGTGGCTTGCCATTGGCGATAGCGTGGGAGGCACGGGAGGCCGTTTCAGCTTCCTCGCCTTGCTATTGCTGAATATGTCGACTGGTGAAAATACTGGTGAACGCTCTTCACGACCCCGCGTGCGGCCACGGGACACCACTGTCGAGAGGTGGCGATGGGTCAGAGGGACTGGTTTTGAGGGCCAGCCCCCGCTGCCAAGATACTGTAGTACGTTGTCTAGGGCCGGTGGAAACCCTGCTTGCCATTCCATCACGCTACGTGGCGATCATAGGCCAGCGGGGTGTCAACGTTGGCAATTGCGCGCTCACACCGCTCCGCGCGTGCTTCCCTCGCCCCCTCGAATGCTCGTTTTTGGGGGTCACGTTGATCACATGGTTGATAACGTTGTAAATTAATTTCAGACTCAGAAACCAGACGACGCCAAACGGCGCTCCTATGATATGTACCTGGACAAGATGAACATGTACTGTCCCGCAAGCTCCTACTTACGATTCCCTACGGCTGTGGAACTGCTTTCAACTATTGTAGCCCTACATCCATCCTACATCCATAGGCTCAACCCGTGCCCGCCATCACCCCCCTCGATTCCCCGTGTGTCTGGATTACGCTGTCTGGAGGAACTGGGAGACGGACACCACACTATTCCGCCACCTGGACGGTGAACGACCAAAACTGTTGACCGATACCTACGGTACATGGTCGCCAACCCTAAACACCGTACGCGTTAACCGCAGTCTCCACGAGGCAAATACCAACATCATCATGCAGTATCGCAGCCTCCCCAGGAGACTCCAGTACCGCATACCAGGGACATTCAGAGACTAGCACTACTGTAGGACCGGAACACTTGAAATACTCTACAAGTAGCACGATTTGACTACTGATCAATTCCAACTTCAGCATCGTCTATTGTAAGGTGACTACAATGAAGATCACTACAAGTCGGTGTTCGAAGGGGGGAGTGCCGCTTCAGTCTCACCACTCTTGGCTTCCCTGACCCACGGCCACATCGACGCTAGCCTGCCCATCAAGGGCGGGGCAGGAACTCGACGCATGGCAGCCCAAGGACGCGTTCTCTAGGGGAAGAGCCCACTATACCCCAGGAGTCAAGCGAGTAAGGCGGCCCCGACTTCATCTAGAATATACGATGGGCGTTGATTGACTTTCCGTGATACTTGCCACGGCATCTCGCCTAAACTACTGTAGGCGACGGCTTCACCACAGGATGACACCAACAACGTTTACAATTGGAGCGTAGCAGCAATATCTCTACTCACACGCTCTCTCGCTACGAAGGTCTACTATTGGGTGAGTGCCTTCACCGCTACCGTACGACTGCCGTTCATTGGAGGCGTTTTCGGCAGCAAACAAGTTTGTTGTGCGTTCGAAGGCCAGCTGTGTTGCCCGCAAGCACGGACGGTCGATTTATTCTACAGTCACCAGATACGTCGTTCCTGCAGTCAAGGTAGTGAGGCACCACCCCGCCCCCCTGGATAGCCCCAACCCCAACCCACCCAGCGCCCCCTTTCCTTCAGCAGACACGTCATCAGGCGCGTCGTCGGACATGCAGGCGGGCGTACAGATAGCGTCTATATATTTCCGTGTGTTTTTCAGGGCACCGTGTCTTGGATGGCCTTTACTGCGTCCATCACCTTGCCCTCCTTTGCGTCCATCACCCAGCCCTCCTCCCCGTCGGCATCGAGTATTAGGTCGTCTTTGAGGAAGGCCAAGAGGAAGGCCGGGAGCAAGTCCGGCTGTGTGGTCGTGGAAATGTTTCCCTCGTCATCGGTACAACGGGAGGCTTCCATCAGGTCCATTGAAGTGAGCGCCTTTGTCTCGTCGAAGCAACTGTCACTCGGCTCCTCCTGCTTTCCAATAGCGTGCCGTTCAACGAGAGGGATACAGAGACGGACAGCCGGACAGCCGGACAGACGAACAGATGATTCAGTCCAACCTCCGATGAGCCTGATTCCCTCTATGTACTGTAGGTGTACGTTTTCTTCATTTTTCTGCAGACTGTAGATCGGTCGCTGCCATCAAATCAATCACGACGCTGTTGTTGTCTATTGCGTGTTTATTGTGCCCGCCTTTGTGCAGTGGTGGGCCCAAACAACGATATCTGGTGAAGTTGTGTTACTTACCATCGGTGACGGAGGCCTCCCAATCACTGATGCCACTCGGTTCGGTGTGCTATCATCGGTACAACGATAGACTTCCATGAGTTCCGTTGGCGTGGGCGCCTTTTTCTCGTCGAAGAAATTGACACTAGGCTCATGCTGCTTTCCAACAGGATGTCGTTCAACGAGAGGGTAAAGGGACAGAGAGACAGAGTGACAGACAGACAGAGAGGTTATTCAGTCCGCCGATAAGCCTGATCCATAATCTATGTTTACGTTCTTCATCGTTCTGCCGACTGCAGAGCGGTCGATGCCAACTAGTCAACGTGCTTTATTGTCGTCTAATGCCTGCTTTTTGTGCCCGCCTTCGTACCGTAGTGGGGACAAACATCAAATAGTTGATGAAGTTGTGTTACTTACCATCCGTGACGGAGGCCTCCCAATCGCTGATGCCACTTGGTACGGTTTGCTATCATCGGTACAACGGTAGACTTCCATCAGTTCCGTTCGCGTGAGCGCGTTTTCCTCGTCGAAGAAACGGTCACTCGGCTCTTCTTGCTTTCCAATACCATGCTGTTCAAGGGATAGAGGGACGGAGAGACAGGGGGACAAAGATATTATTCAGTCCGACCTCCGATAAGCCTGTTCCTCTGTTTTTGTGTACGTTTTCTTCGCGGTTCTGCCGACTGTAGAGCGGTCGATGCCAACTCTTCCATCACGACGCTTTATTATCTTCTATTGTTTATTTTTGTGGCCGCCTTCGTACCGTAGTGGGCCTAAATAACAATAGTCCGTGTCGTTGTGCTCCTTACCAGCGATGACGGAGGCCTCCCAATCAATGATGACACTCGGTTCGGTGTGTTATCATCGGTACAACCGGAAACTTCAGTCAATTCCGTTGCCATGAGCGCCTTTTCCTGGTCGAAGCAACTGCAGTCGCTCGGCACTTCTTGCTTTCCTATAGCGTGCTGTTCAAGAGGAGAGATAGAGAGACGGAGAGACAGAGAGAAACATGATTCAGTCCAACCTTCGACAAGGTTGATCCACTGCTGTGTCTTGTGTCCACTTCATTTAACACACAAACACATTCTCATTCGTCCGCGGCTAGCACGGTCGATGCCAACTAAAGAGCCGCGACGCTTTTCGCCTTCTGTTCTTGGCGTTTTCTCCGCTTTCGGCCCTTACAAATTGTTTGTCGTATTCCTTACCATCGGTGACCAAGGGGTCCCAATCGCTGCCGCCACTTGGTCGGGGTTGCTCTGGTCGTTGTCTTTGGCGTTATCATTAATGACCACGGCGTCGGGGGCTGAAATTGCCGCGGCTGCGGCCGCGATTTTGTTCCTGATGCGTTTGCTCCTCCGCGGTATGGGCTGGGCGTCACGTGGGCGGTGCTTCCGCTTTTGTGTTTGCATGTCGCGTTCAGTGGGCTGGAGCGAGGATTGCAGAGACAGACGCACATGACAGGGGAAGAGGAAATATTTTGGCGGATGGACGAGGAGGTACGTACATTGACCCGTTGTGTACAGATCACAAACTTGCGCAACCTTTAGCCTCCCATAACCACTGCAGAGCGCTCTTTGAGAACATTTGAATCGGGCTCCGGGCAGTGTACACTTGCCATACATGCGACCCCTTCAACTGAGTCACGGAAATTGTGATGAAACACTTCTCGCCTCGTGGTTCTATGGGAAACATACCACGATGTACACGTAAGGGGCGGTCTATGGGTGTGTGTGCTCAAGGATAATCTGGTGCGCCCAGAATGTGCCGCCGAAACAAAGACAACAACATCCCATGTACAGCAAAACGTGTTTCACGATTGGTGTACTGTAGATCCCAAAGAGGACAAACTAAACGAGCGGAGCCCAGCATCGAAAGAGAGCGACCATGACAAGGGGTTTGGTCGCCGAGAAAGGCCCTCTCCCTCTGTGGCTACGAAGTCTAGGTCTGTTGTTCATGCAAATAGTCACCAGTTTTCGTCGCATCTCTTCCATGCGGGGGCACATTACGTGTAGTTGCACCTGCGACGTCGCCGCGGCGTTCGCAATCTGGCCTACCTAAGATTCAATGGGAAAGCGAGTGTCCAACCTGGACAATTGCCCAAGTGTCCAACCTGGGCAATTGCCCAGTGCCCGATCCGTCCAGCAACAAAAGGGTTTTACCTGTGGCGAAGGCAGCGAACTCTCATCCCAGCGGAGTGAATATTGATGGCCGGTTTCCTCGCCCATCGCGCAGATGCCATGGCTAATTCGAACAGTTTCTCCGTTGCTCATCTTGAAAACGCCCTCAGAGCTCTGAGACACCGGGGTCGAATTTTCTAGTGAATCTACACCAGGTGGAAAAGCGGGAAGGAAAGCACAGAGAGAGGGTTGCAGTAAGACAGGCACAAGGGCAACGGTCATACTTGTGCGGGAAGTGGTGTTCTTGTTTGTGGGCGGGTTCGGTTGGATAGCAGCAGCGTATCTTGCGCTTGTAATTCATTCATCATGGCGCGGTGGGGATGGATGTGTTATATTTTGATGCACTCGATTAGTACGTGGCTTTTGATTGCGTGCCTGCAGTAGCATATGGGTTCCAGCGTGTGATTCTCTTAGAGCAGAAATGGGGTTCGAATCCCGGTGGGTGAACATTTTCGATAAATATCCGGTGGGGGATACGAGTTACAATACAAGAAGAAGTATCAACGAATGAATTTCAATAGACAAAGGAAAAAAAAATCCTCACCTCTAAATCACTGTGGTAGAGAGTGGGTGTGGCTGGTCTTCTGTTGTGGCTGGAAGTGGCTGGGAGTTGAGTAGTGAGAGAGAAGGCGAGTGAATAGTGAGCGAACGGAGTGAGTGGATGACGGGATTTTCCAAAACCATCTCAAGATCCAGAGCAAAAATTGCGAATGTTCTAGAATGTTCATTACGAATATATGTTATTCCGAAAAATTCCGAATTACCAATTTTTAGTGTTGCGCTGGGCTCCACGCTGGGGAGAGAGGAGGAATGAATTGATGGGCGATGGACGGACGCGGATCAGGAGGGGATAGTACATTCTCGTCCCCGAAAAAACAAGCCTCCAATATTGAAAACAGGGGAGAACATATGATCTCACAAAACGCCTTCTTCGAATATTATCTTGAAGCAAGCGTACCCAAGTTCAAGGGGATGACGCGGATATTTATAACCACCCCGGGTGACAAAAAGTCTCCCAGGTCGAACACAGGGGAGCAACAACGAGAACGTTTAGCTGCGAGGAACCCTCTTCAGTAAGGGATGGGAGCCGATACTAAACATCCCTTACGTAGAACTGCGAAATTCCGTTTTCGATCGAAGTTTCATTCTTGTCTTCGCATGTCAACCAAGTCTGTCTGTCTACGGCAAGAGAGAATGAATGCATGAGAGACATACGGCGTTCTGCTAGATGTTGTTGTTGGTGATGACAACATGGGGTGGGCATAGAGAAGAAGCACAGAGGCAGAGAGGCAGATAACGACCACCAGAGAGGGCGAGAAAGAAAGACAGACGGACAGATAAAACGCTGGGGAGTAACAACTGCTTGCTGTCCACATCATGCTGTCATGCTGATCACGCTGCTGATGAAGGTACGGCAGTGTGCATGGCAGCAGAATTTAGCAGTGAGAGTACATTGAAGTGACAGTAGGTGTGATGGCCATACCGATCGGTCCAAAGTAGCAAGCTGGGAAAAATTGTGAAAAAATTGATCGCCACGCAAGCGGCGACCGGCAGGCAGATGTATAATAGATGGTGTACATATATACAGATGAATTTATTTCGGGTCTGCTCGAAACCCAACCAACACGTGTGTGTACAACTAACTGTCGTCATCAATCTGTACACTTTCTTTTGTTCGGGATTCGTTGGCCTAGAAACACGCCACGCGTTCAGGTACTATGCTCTACGTGCTGCTGGAGTTCTTCTGCTCTTAGCATGCTTGAGTGGGTCATTCAATCACCCGCACGCAGCATGTCTCCCTAGGGCGTCACCTTGACTACTGTAAACGGATGATGTGGTGATGAGTGAGAATATATCAACAACAGAATGCTTGATTGATGATATTGTAAGGGTTTTATGGTTATTGATTCCTTTCTACTGTACAATCAACGTAGCCAGCAGACAGACAGCAGAGAGAGTCAGCACAACCCACCATTGCCTAGTTGCCCAGATCATCGCTGCCGTCTCCGTTTTTCCATCTCGCTCGAGTGCATTGGCCCATCGGAACCGCTGCCGCCTTTCTTTGGTATCCCAACGCAACTCCGAGGAGTATCGATGGATAAGCTGCTGCCGAATGTAGATTTTTGAGTTACTCTTTCTTGGTCCATGTGGTTGGTTGTCCTCTTGAAGCGTTCGTCGTCGCCATCACAAGTTACTCTTGGTCCATGTGGTTGTGCTCTCGAAGCGTTCGTCGTCGCCATCACAATCGAAAGGAGTACAGTAGCAAACTTCGTGTCACGACACGGCAGAGTCCACATTTTGTTTCGTCGGCGGGCGTATAGAATGGGTTCGCTGGAGGTACTACAGTATACTGTAACTGTTGTACCTGTACAGCATGTCCCATCAGGTATCGACTGGACCATAAATTTGCCCCGCTCTCCACACCGACACATCCATCCAGGGCGTGACGGTACGATTCACCAAGGCTCAGGTCGCCCTTGTGCGTGATGCGCAACGCGTGCACGCAATTACGCGGTGGCTGGGAGGATTTGAGGATTGATTGACCCTGAATGTACGCACGTAAGTTGCTCCGCCTGCCTACCTCCGAAACGCAAGAGGTTCAGGTTCTACCGGAACCAGTCTTGTGCGGCGGTGCGGCGGGAAGTGGGAAAGAGCGCGCAAATTCATGTGCTACAGCAGTATTTATTCACCCAGACTCTGTTGGCCGCTGTCTTTCAACCATGGAATTTCGAGAGCAAGCCAGTCTCTTTCTCCGCCGAGGCAGACGGGCAGAACAAAACAATACGTAGACTACGCAACAATGCAGTCTAGGCCCGAGAGTAGGCGGTGTGAATGAGTAACGCGGTTCACTGCTGTAAGTTACGCCCGACAAACGGCGGTCGAAATTTGCGCATACGTATCTCAGACACGGAATAAGGCGATCACCGCCTCATACCGGGCCGGACCCTGTGTAAGGCGCTACATATGTATCTCACCCGATCAAGACTTTTAAGGCGTTATCTATCTATCTCAAACCCGATATATATAAGGCCGTGCTCTGGTGTGCTCTTTGGCCCTCGTCTCTCACGTTTGAGTCGTGTTTGTGTGGTCCACCAGTCAGGCGCACGACCTGTACACGGGTACGTCGGTTACGTACAACATACTCAAACTCGTTGTGTTTGTTGACAATATCATGGTGTGCCCATGTGCCCGTATGCTACAAGTACAATATACACCTTTGTGAAAGCAGTGCGGAGCTCGCTATGCATAACGTCCGTCGTCATGGAGTATTCGCACATTTTGGATTCGCCGAAAAGCTAAGGCAACGATCACCTGTATGCAGTATTTCTTATGGCAACCATCGTTGATAGGATGTACGCTAGGTCCTCTCGAGTACGTGTGTGGGGCAACAGAGTGGGCCCTAGACAATAGCTGATGTGTACAAGGGCACGTCTATAGCTGATGTCCGAGGGCACTTCAGTGCAGCAATTTCAAAGCCGCCGCTTTTGTTTTTTACCGTCTCCACCAAATTCGTTACCGCCGAAAAACACACAGGCTGCCTACACCCCCAACAACTTACCACCGTACGGCGTTACCGCCGGAGAATCACCACCACATTTGAGATTTTCTAGGTTACCTTCTCCCCCAAACAAAGTCCTTACCGCCGTAAACCGCGAACAATCCCGCTTCTCGCGAAAACAATCACCGCCCTACGACAATACCGCAGAGAAAGTACCGCCATGTGGCATTACCGCCAGACCCTATCCGCCAAATACGCCCATTACCGCCGACGGGGAAAGTGGGACGTGAACGGCGGGCTGAGTGGGTAGCAGCCTCGTCCCGTGGACTGCACGACAAGCAAACTGCGAATCAGGGGATCGAGAACATGAGTGTTCTTCGTTTTTTTCTGATTTTCGATTATTTCACCCCGAGTTGTGACGAAAAATGTGGGATCCCCGAAATACGGAACCTGGGATCCCCGAAATACACATGTGTGGCGATGTCAAATCTAGTTGGACGCGGCAACACACGCCAAGATGCCGGCGAGGGTTAGAAAATGACTACTGTACATCCCACCACCGTGGAGATCGGAGCCCGCTTGTCTACCAATGATTCGAACATTTGACATACACAACACGTTTGTGCAAGAACTTTCGGCCCCCGTGTGCCCCCTAGTTCCCCCGAAACTCTGCAGTGATTTGCTTACGGCTGCCGATTCCTGTGCACGCAGACCTCTAATTGTCGTCCAACTCCCCCCAATAAAGAATAAAAACCCAAACAGACACCTGGACAGTTTCTTTGCGGTCGTGAAAAACGCTCCAGTCATAAACGCCCCGTCTCCTTCCCCGTCAATCTCTACCCTAGGTCCCCCGTCTGTTAGTGCCGGTAGAAACATACGTTCGTCCCGTGGCCCCGGCCGTGATAAGCCGAACTTGCAATCCGATATTGCCGGAACAAACCACGGCACTAGCCGTAGCCGTCCCACCTCGTCAACTCTACGCAATATGACATTTAACCTTAGCTTTGTGCGGGGTGCAGTCGGACCCATCCATACCCCACATTACAAAATGTGGCCCCCAACCCACGCCATAAAACGCTATTCTACGTGCACAGGCACCAACACTTCCTTGCGAGGTGACGACACAAACAAAAAAGCTTCGTTCGAAGGCCTACCCCCAGCTTCAAGGGACGTCGACATTGTTCACACACCCGGTGAGAGGGCGCACGCAAATTCCAAACCGACAGCCGCAGCTACACAATGCAACCAGAACAAACGTCGCCGTGCGCTCAAAATACGAATCTTTCATGGATCTGCGGAAACACACATGACTTTTCGATCCCCCCCCGCACGTGGTGAACAACCACCATTTTTGCACCCGAACGATGCGCATCCTATACTATGCAGTCTACTCTCCATGACATATCTCGTTTGGTTATGGAAGCACAAAGAGAGATAAAATAGCTAGGGTCGCGTACATGCCATTGCAGGCATCGGAGGCCACTTGAAAAGTTGCTTCAACCTGCCCCAGAAAGCCTCAACTTGTAACTTGGTGTCTTTTGAGGCCAACCCATTATGGTATCCTGTGCGTTTCTGCGCGGTTGTGGAACCCCTATTGGCTAACTGTGGGGGGTTGTGGCCGCGACAACAGGATCAGAAGGAGCTGGAGCCACCAAAGATATCGGAGCTACAGCAGATGCGCAAGATTCAGCTGGCAGCTGTTGAATAGAAACCATAGCAGTGGTAACCATAAAAGCCCAGCCGGAGTGAGATGGGCCACGGGGGGCACATGAGCGATGGAAAGAGCCACCGGGAGGAGAATTCGGCAACCAATCTTGTGGGGGGGAAGTAATCCCGTCTCCCTCCACTCCCCTCTACCTCCAGCACAATCATCTCTGCATCTTCTGCCTCTTGTTTGCCTGGCCGTCCCGCTTTGCATCTTTCCGCTTTTGGGTGGACGAAGCTTCGACCGGTTCCTCTTCAGCAGAAAGTATATCTTCGAGGGTCATCATCGCGTACTCTGCAGCCATCTTCGCAAAGTGAGGAGGAAGCGAGGGTGGGGATCATCGTGAGAATGGGAGATGGGTGGTCGACAGGATGTTGGAGAATCATTTATTTGGAATATTCTTGGAATGGGAACATTTCAAGCATCATACCACCACTTTTTACCTCATTGAAAGATACCGCCTGAGGTATACCAGGGACCATCTGCCGAGCTCTCAACCATACGCTTTTCGATCGCCTGCGCGATAATAGAGAGAGAACGTTTTCGCCATAAAAGCTCCACCGCGCACTGGTTGAGTACACTGATACCTGGTGTTGAAGTGGTGGTCCACCGCCATGGGATGGCGCCGCCTCTGCCCGCTGGCACACGATCTCCCCGGCCTCGGGCGTGAGGACCGGTCTATTTCTCTCTCGTCTTCCGTCGTTCTCCCCAGTGCAACCAGAATCGCTACGCACCCTTTTCTCTCCGCCGGCGTACCCCTCCGACTCCCAAAAATCTGACAGCGAGAGGGAATCAACGTTGCCCCCCCTCCACATTTTCGGTAGATTCCCGGCGCCCCTTTCCGAGACATCTCTCGCCAGGGGGGGTGGTTCGAAGCCGCTCCTCCATCCCGCGGACGGTGGGCTCGTCACACCTAAAATCGCGCGTGGATCGCCCTCCCGCCGATCCTTGGTGCACCGATTATCGTGCCGGCCGGCGGCGGCTTCCGCGCTCCCGCCTTCTCCGCTCCCGCGCGGGACGGATTTGTGTACCTCCGCACTCCCGTTGCCGCTGCAGGTGTGGCTTGCCGTCGTCTTCTCCACCCCCTTGGGACCGGTTTCATCAGGTCGTGTGAGGTCGACGACCTCTGGTGTGTCGCTGTGTTCCCGCCGAACAGGGTGCTGGTTTGGGGCATTGTTTTCTCCGTTGCATTCTCCTTCGTCTGCCTGTCGCGGCCGAGGATTGTCGGGTGCCGTCTCCCCTATCCCCTCTTCGCTACTATCATCAGATCGTGTGAGGTCGACAACCTCTGGGGTGTCGCGCCCGTTGCTCTTGTTGTTTTCTACCTCATCCTGTCCTCCTCCTCCCGGCCGCGGCCAGGGTTCATCGAGCACCGTAGATGCGACGCTGTCGGCGTCGTTGTCGGCGTCGCTGCCGGCGTCGTTGTCGACGTCGCTGTCATCGCTCCTCGCTTCACCGTCGCCACCGTCGCCACCGTCGCCACCGTCGCCACCGCCGCCGTCGCCGCTGCTCTCGCGTCCCTCACCCTTGTCGCCCCCTCCTGGAGCAGTCCCCGCCGGAAGTTTCATCTCCGCCTTGAGTTGAGGCTCCAGCGGCCGCACACGCTCGGTCTCAAGCTTGGATGCATCAACGATGTCATTCCCGTCGTCGCCACCTGTGACCGTCGTCGACGTCGACGTTGTCGCAGCCGGCGCCGGCGCCGCTTGTCCCGCGACGCCCGGTGCTGGCTCGCCAACGGTGGAACCAAGGCCGTTTCCGTCCACGGCCTTGCCCGCGCTGCCCCGTCCCGGACACGCGGCGGAGCTGTTTTCCGCCACTCCCTGGGTAGGGCAACCCCTGACCCCCGAGGAAAGCGAAGGAGGATTCGCGTTCCGGCTGCTGGGTACGCTGCTACTGGCGGCGGTGCCAGCGGTCTTCCGCGCGAGCGGGGCGCGCGGTCGACGGGACTGTGAGCCGGTAGAGACCGCGTCCTGTCGCTCCCTGTTCACAGCTGCGCTGTCTGTAGCCTCGTCACGGAGCCTCGTCGCCGGCAACCCGTCGGACGCCATCGCTTCCTTGAGCTTGTCTGCTGCTTTCTGTGTGTTATGGCGCAGGAATCATTGAAAGGAGGAAGAGAGCGCGGATGGGGGTTGCTGATGTTCCCGGATGCCCGGAATGTAGTCCTCGGTCATTCGTTTACATACCTAACCGGGACGGAGAACATCTGATTTAACCGGGTACCATCGCGTAGTTCCAAGAGTGAAGCGTGTTAAGTCCTCGAAAGTGCGAAGCGGACTTCGGTACGTCGGAATCTCTCGCAAAAGGACGGACACCTTGCAACTACTTGACTTGATTGTCCGGCTTGGCCACTTCCAGACGCATGCCTCGATAGATCAATACACACCGTGGGTACCCATTCACGCCCTGCGTGATGCGATCGGCCCTCTTCTCCAACCCGCAACGCGTGATCTAACCCGATCACCATTCTCTGTTGCCGCGAAACTATCTACATAAAAACTGTTAAGAACGGTGACCTGCTGTTGTCTAACTCGTGCAGGGGGTCGCATGTTGCACACCGTAGTTGCTTAGCCTACACCGACTCGACATAGTCGTGGCAGCCCGGCTCAACACATGCATGACAACGGCCACATGACAAAACACATCGCGTAGACGCTGCATGAACAAGCACAAAGCACGTTCGTTGAGAACGGCAATTGCCGTCTCTGATACCCTGGCTACAATAACGTCTCCCGGCCGGCGATTTACTGGCCGTCTCACCTCCGGAGTGTAGTTGAAAACGCGCCAGCTAGACTCCAGGTAGGCGGCTGTGGAAGTGCCCGAGCCTAAATCTTCCACCTGGTACCAGTAACAAATGGAAACAGTGGAAAAATATTCCCGGACGTGTACAGCAGTGGATGGATAAATACGTGGCATGGGAATTGCGAGCAACGGCGAGCTCTGTGTACGGGAGAGGGGTTGAGGATGATATCTGTATGTAGAATAAATCGCTGAGTCGTCTAAACGCACGGGAAACAGGCACAGCCACACGGGGTCCAATACAATAGTGTCGTGCGTAGTAGTTTGACTCTGGCTAAAGGCTCAACAAATCGCCAAGCAACACAGCTAGCACACGCCTGTAATTGTCTCTGCGCTAACAGCAAGCCGAAGCACGGGGTGTCGGTGCACCCGAGTGCAGCTACGCACGACGATTTAAGAGGCAATGTAACGTTTCATGGTCCCCACTCACGTCGGCCGCCGCCTTGCTTTCGGCTTCCTTTAGCTGTGCACGGAGATGGTGCCAAGTGCCCAATAGTACCGTTAGCGATGTAGACTGCCAGAAGGCCTCCGGGTCTGAGGCTCCACCCATGCCCGATATTTCAGGTGTGGCTTTTGCCAGGGGAGGGAGAACACGGGAGGAGAAAACGGGAGGAGAAAACGGGAACGGCAATCGTAGAGGGTGCAGCGATGAGGCTATAGAGGGAGGAGGGGGGGCATGTATGCATTTTTGGTATGTATTTTGACCTGACCGCTCAGTTTTGTTGTTGTCTTCACATTTAAGTGTGCAATCTAGAATAATTCCCATAGAGAACCCTCCGCACCGTTGCAGGCGCGCTCGACAGTATGGTCGTACTTCGCGTGAACATATCAAGCTTGCCAGGTCCCCGTGCTTTTCGGTGTGTCTTTGTCTGGCCGTAGTCTACGCCTCCCGGGGAAGCAAGCACAGGTCTACGTATGGGGGCAAGCGTCAACACATCCACCTGACACCCTTACGTCTGCCCCCTGCGCTAAGCCTTCTACTTGTTCTCAGCCGGCGATATCACGTACGATGAGCGTATTCATGTTCATGAGCTTCTTCTGCCATTTATGCTTCACTCACTTGTAGCGTCGTCGGCCTTGATCCGCCGCGTCATATCTTTGCACTCGGACACCAGTCCCTCACGATCCGACGGGGGTAACTGCTCGGCGTTGTCTTCGTCCTCGCCGCCGGAAAAACTAATCGATCGCAAAGAGGAATAGAAGAGTAGAAGAGGGCAAAGCAAAGAAAACAGCATCAGGTGCACCGTCAGTTAGTCTGTCCCCAATACAGGCCCTGCAACCATACATAGTGCGTCCTATACCTCGAGGGTCGTAAAAAAGGATATTTTGTTTATGCAAGGTTACAAAAAATAGGTGTGAAAAAAAAGCACAGATCGGGTAGAACAGCAAGAATCCCCTGAAGGAGAATCGAGCGCGAACGCAAGTCATCGCACGACGTAGTCGGCGGTGGTGTGACGACTGACTGACTTCGGGCGCTTATGTCAGGGTACTGGTGTTCATAGGAGGCTCGCGACTCTGCCTGGTGGGACGGATTCATGAACTGTGCATCCACCGTTTAGGTCGGCGTTGGTGCTCTAAACACGCGTGTACCTCGATGGCGCCGCGGTGGTGTCATCGTTCGTGGCCAATCGTCTGCTCATCCAGCGTAGAAGCATGGCCAGCTGTTCGGCTGCATCTCCGTGCAAGCCCCAAGCCTTGACATCTTCGGTGGAGGGGCGCCCGTTCTCCGCCTAAGCACCCGAAGAACAACAAGCGACACCGACAAGAGAGCGTTGGACGAGGAAAGCAGAGACAGGAAGAGACGGACAGAGAGCGAGACAGGACGATAGAGAATGAGCGAGAACGAGAGAGAGGGGGGGGGGGGGGGAGGGGAGACACACACACGCAGACCGAGCGAGAACGTTTCAAGCCTTTATTACGCGGAAGTGCATATTCTACTCGGGACAGTGCCTACCGCTACGGATGCTTCATGATGCAAGGACCGCATCATCCTATCGTGCGGTTACTGGCAACGTGCGCATCCGGAGAAGGAGCAGGGACACGGGGCATGTGAAAAGGAACAGAGGTAAGAGACCTGTGATCACAGCGACAGCCCTTTCCCGATGGCAAGATCGTTCGAAAAAGGCAGATCAGCCAGGGGGGGGGCGTAAAGCAGCCTCAATCCCACCTGCTCTTCCCGAAAGAATGACACCGTCCGTTCTGCCGCAGCTGCCACCGTCTTCGGGCCCCAGAGTCCCACTCCCGACCTCCTGATCTCATTTTCATCCGTGGTGCCGTTGACGGCCCGAAAGAATCGTTTGAAGAAGTCCGCGCCGGGAGGTTGGTTGCGAGTTTGATAGGGCAGACCGTTCAACAGTTTTTCGGCTTTGGACAGCAGGATGTCCACAGACCTGGTGTTTTTTGGTCGAACAAGGGCGACGTGAGGCGGAAGGTGGGGTAGGTAGAGCATTCAAACACGACAAAGCACTCGTCAGTTCGATGCGCCAAGAGTTTACAAATTTCGTTCACGTCACACGGTCGGCATAGTCGCGCAGAGTATCCCCTTACTTCGCGTAGACAGTACATGATTCTCCAATCCCTATATCTGCTACATGTTTTCCCACGGACGGTGAATGCTCACCACTTTCAAACGAAATGAACACTTCCGACGCCTGCCGCCTGCTTATTCAAAATCCAAAGGAGGTGGGTGTATTAAACTGTCGCCTGCCACGCGTAAGCACCAAACTGAAGCTATCTCGTCACCGCTTACAGTGGCGACACACTCTGCGGTACATATGTACGTGCGGACACGAAAGCCTCCCGCAGAGAGTCGCGAAGCAGGAAAGCAGGAAAACTTGAAGAATTTTGGATGGATTCCTCCGCGCTAGGTCGAGAGGCGTCTACATACATTCCGAACACAATTCTGTTTCTGACGCGAATAGCACAGGCCAGAGGAGAGGAGGGAAAGCGAACAGATATGTAGCAAGAGAGGGACGACGTGTGACTCTCACTCGGGAGCGCCACCCGCAGCAGCGTACAAGTGAGGCAGGATGTTCCCTTCCAGCGGGCCATTATGGCCGTCTTCCTCCTCGTCGTCGTCGCCCGCATCATCAGCGCCGCCTCCAAAGTCCCCGCCGCCACCACCTACGCCTTCGGCCGCCGCCGCACCTTCCCGCACCAAGAGCCGTGCAGTTAACCAAGTTTTCTCGGAGGGTTGGGTATGGATACGAAGAGCGCTTGAAGGATAGGGTGGCAACCACTTCGTAGCGTTGTTTATTTTATCTTTGCATCATGCCCGCTCCGACTCCTATCCTGCACCTCCTCACCTGCTCATTTATCGGTAAGAAGACTTTTTTTCACTGTTGTTACAAAGTTGCTCTTGCACGAGAATATGGAACGAACACGACGCAGAGATTATCACACTTTTTTGAAAAGACACTCAAACTTCCTCAGGATGGGATGGAAGCCTACAGACCATCCAGATCTTGACGGGTAGATATTATCGCGAAAAAGGGTTCGTGATTTTCTCAAATCTCCTTCATCAGTGGACGCGATTCAACCTTGTTCAGGGACGCGAAGCATGAGTGGGTCGAACACGGCAGGCAGGTATCTCCTAGCCATAGCCAGCTTAGACAGGCAGAATAGATATCCTTCAAGCAGGAAACAAAAATATGATGCAACCTGGCTGTGAACCTTTCTGTAAGAAGCGCGGTGCAAGGCACCGTGAAAGAAAGAGCTGTCTGGCAAAAGCCTTGATGAGGAGGGAGGCCGAAAAAGGTACTTGAGGGATCGAACTTCCTTTCGCCGGAGGTATCACCTCTACAATACTCAGAAGGTTGTCGAAAGCCATAATCGCACGAGTCATCACTTTGTTTGATTTTATCGTGGACGTCAACTGCCACTCTTGGTTTCAATACAAGTTTTGAGCCATGGCATCTCTTGTCGAGGTCTCTGGTTCTCCATCTCTCGTCACGCTGCCATTGCACCAACCTTGGGCCGCCTGCGCTGCTCCCCTCTTCAAGAACACCGCTGCCGCCGATATCCCTCTGATCTCCAAGGCCTCTAGCAGGGTGGGCTGGATGTCGTTCGCCGCATCCAGCCGATCCTGCCACAAATCCGCCACCTTCTCCACTTCGGACCTGACAGAGAGGCAAGAGGCAAGAGATTGAGGAGAGGTCTTGGGTGGGCATTCATGCAGCGCTTTCCTTGACGGCGAAAGTCTGAGCAGGGGTGGGGCGGGGCGGAGAAACGAAGGCTATGGCAGCTGTTAAGGCCGCCATTTTGGCTTGCTAGTTATTTTTCGTTTTCATTTGTTGCTGGCCTCCGTCGGTCTCTGCCTGAGACTCGGCACCTGGCATCGTCTTCGAGCTGCTCTTGCGTCTTTCCTGGGTTTTCCTCCGACAGCTCTTCCAATACCTCTGCCCTAAGCTCCTCGATCGCATTATTTTCCTTGAGGATAGCGGGGAGTAGACAAACGCCGGGGACGTCAACAGCAGCAACCGTGGCAGGAGATACAAGAAGAAGAACACGACAACAACAGCACAGCATCGCCATCATCACGATCAATATCATCATCAACAACAACAACAACAACAACAACAACGACCAGCCACCACAATGACCAGGCAGGCAGGAACCCATTTAAACGACAACAGGCGTGAAGACCCGCAAGACTGCAAACCTTTCGAGCGATCGCTACTGTAGTACGGCTCTACACGAGGAGGACGATATCCGGTGGTGGATCTTCAACCCCGCCCAATCTCCCAAACTACTGGCAGTTTTATTAAACTGCCCATGGGCACTTCATGAAATGCCCATGGGTGGGACCATGGGCAGCCGATGGACTGCCCACGAAGTGCCCACCGTGGGCACTTCGACCTAGAACTGAGCCACCCAGCCCCAACCTAGCACGTATCGTGTGGGTTTGGGGTTGGGGTTAGGGTTAGCGGTGCGGTTACTAGCTGTATTAGTACCCCTCCCAAAGCAGAAACTCTACTGTTGAGGAGTACAATGGTTTCGGTTGAAGGGCACTCACTGACGTTCCATGGGCTAACCCGTGGGCATTTCCCATGGGCAACCCATGGGCAGCCCAAGGATGCCCCCATGGACGGTTTCGCGAAACTGTAGGAAGGAGTGGGAGACCCACCCAGCGTGACAAATCGTTCTAGGACAAGCTGTGTGGTGTCGGGCATTCATCTGCCCTGTGCCGCACAACGCCCTGCTGCTACCCCCGGTGCTCACCGTCTGCGCCTGAGCTTCGGAAATCACGTCTTCGACCATAAACGACGCGTCGACCAGTTGTTGGTCAAGCTCTTCATCGTCTGCTTCTTCGCCCTGCTCGAGAGACGAACGAGCGCCGCTGACGCCCTCCCCCTCCGCCTCACTGTGCTCGGCCAGTCTCGCCAAGACCTTCGTAATCAGCGGGGGATCTCGCTTGGCTTCGGCGAACAAGGTCTGCGCCCACGCATTCACGAGGACAATCGCAGTCGCACCACCAGATGAGACAGAGAGTCAAGGGCATACGCGTGGTGGGGAAATTATCATATTTAGCTGCTATTGGGGGTAGAGGGTGTAGGTGATCCTAGCTGGCTGGCTGATGGTGAGTTTGTAAACTAAGCTTGTCTTGTACTGAGAGGTGCCTAGTACTGCCGCGCACAGAACGACGAAAGTAAACGACCATGGGTGATGTTGACGTGCAGAGAAGGGGCTGCCGTCCTCTGCCTATGGAAAGCAAAGTCAGGCGTACGGTAGGTGGTTGAGATCTATATCTATATGTAGGTACAAGCACTACAAATATCTTGTTTCGCGATATCACGCCCTGAGGGGGAGGTCATGCCCCCGACGCAAGCCCACCCGGGTAAAACGCCTTTCCCATCATACCGTGTCGTGATTACAAACACTCTGTTATGGGGGGTGGGTAACTTGGGTAGGATACAATCTGATAGATCCCCTACCTTCTCCGTTCCATAAACTTGAGACTTGCCTGTAGTGGCAACAGCTGACTCTGGTCGCAGCACAGGCACTGCCACGCCTTGTCGGAGCTCGCCAAGGCCATTGCCGTACCTTCGCCAAGCTGGTCAAGGCAGCCGTTACAGAAGGCCCTGGTAGAGAGGTATGTACGTGTAAAAATTGTGTGCGAGTGTTGTTTCACGAGACTGCATTGACAAAAACAACGAGGTACACCAACAGGAAAGGGGGCCGGGCGGACGGCAGCAGGTCCTAGACCTGAAGAGGGGCGAGAGGCACAGACAGGTAGACTTTCATACAGTAGCGTGATACTGACCGTTTCTTGTGAAAACAACTCTGATCTGCACTTATACGCCCGGAAACTTTCAAACAATGGAGTACGGACTAGTCAATGTGTTCTGGCAGCATACACCAAAGAGAGTGCTCAAGTCGACCCATACCCTTATTGCGCACGGTCATACGTAGAACGAGCAAGGTTTCGAATACTTCCGATGACTTCGTCAAGAATATGTCCGCACACACGAATAGAAGAATCCCCGGAAGGCTGGATGTGGGACGAACCCCACTGTAGCGATGACACCCTAGCAACACCCAGCAATCACAAGAAAAGAGGGTGTGGGCAAAAGAAAAACATCCTACGTCACCGCCGATAAACACCCATTTCAGGTCCACACGCACACGATGCGCACCTCCTGCAGTCGTGCTCATCGCAGCGGGACAATATGATCTCGTCGCTTTCCGTTTCCGCGCAGCACGCGCAGCAGGTGTCTTGGTCCTTGTCATCCATCCCTTCTCCGTTAATCATCTCGAGGCACCTGGAGAAGATTCATGCCTTTGTTGATGCCTGGTCTGTGAAGGATTTGTCAACCATGCATCTCTCTCGTTCTCCCATCATATAGACCCAAACTTCCATACAATATTGTAATACTCCATTGTACGGGGTTGTTGCCAGATTTCACAGCAGCTTTGGAACTATGTACATGCATGTGTTCCTCAGAGGAGGAAAGGGGACACCCTTGTTGGCGGGAAGTATGACATGTGGCTCGCGGAACAACGTATTGGGAGAACCGTAGTACAAACAGGAAACGATGCTTCTGACGGGGAAATCTATTTAAACGAGGTGCTCCCAACTTGATGCAATACCGTTGTCATTTAATCTACCCCCTGAAGCACGGGCAATACCTCCCTGAAACATATCACGGTACGCTGGATAATCGGCTACGGTGCCACGCACCTCAGACACACGGCAACCCCAGGCACAACAGGATGTTCTTCAAGCCGGAACAAGCCTGATGACAGATCCTTAAGGCAAACGATGCACGAGAGGGCATGTCTGTCGTTCTCCGAAGAAGAAGACGTCCGAAAACAATCACGCGGGTGACGGTGCGGGGGGGGGGGCGGGCTACGTCAGCGCCAGTTGAAGTAAAAACAAGAGATAAAATGGGTATTCGTAGCGTGCCTCCTTCTACGTCTTCTTTGCTTTCACTCGATTCAGTCTACGATCTACCGCCAGGCAACGTGGTGATTGATTGGAGGCCCGTTGGTATCTGGTAGTGTATTAGGTGGTGGTTGTTTGCTCACATTTTCAGCTACCTCAAAAATAATCGTTTCGGTGTTTGCAACCTGAACGCAGAAGCATAATGTAGCCATGCATAAGACGTCTTCTATGGAGGATGGTGGGTCCTCTTTTGTGACTAATGTGGTGCTCACGTCGAATCCTCCGACATGCCATGGTCCATCTTGAGCTTCGTAGGCTCCGGTTACCATCCACCCCACAACTCGCTTCCTCGCGCCGCTCCAGGTATAAGCTCCGAAGACAGAGTGGTGTTCTTCTCTGTAGGTGGGTTCGGTTGGATAGCAGCAGCAGGTATCATGGGCTTCCCACTCCGTACTTCATTCATTGCACGCTGGGGATGTTTCGTTTACATTCCGTAGGTTGCGAGTGAGCGCACAGGGGTGCGATCGATTTTCGGATCGTAATTTCTCCACAACCAGGAGAGAGCGAGCGCCAACTAATACTTACCAGGAAAGCTCTCGATGAGATATTTCCAAAACCGCCCCTTTCGACGGTGGTAACCTCCTGGTTGTGAATAAATTACTCTTTGAAAATTGTTCGCACCCCTGTGCGCTGACCCACCCCCACCCCGGTGTTTTCGGTCGAGATTGGGTTTTCGTCGCTCGGCAACGACGTTGGAAAAAGAACTCGGCAACCAGGTTATCGCTATTATTTTTTACCTCTGTTGTTATTTCTTGCGGTAACCACAAATGGTGGTCGAGTAGATCACGTTGTGCGGGGTCGAGAACCCTCACTCCGCGCAAGGGGGATGATCGCACGTTGTGTTTAAATGGTCAAGCATCCTCGAGGCAGTTACACAGCACTTACAACTGTCTCTGGAAGTGAAAGCACCAGAAAATAAATGAAGTCATACGCAGCTGTCATCCGTACGCAAGGAAGTAAGCACAAGATGCCGAACACGCCTTCATGCGACTCGCCGAATACCTCACGGCGCTTCGCGCCTGGTGATGTGAGAGCCTGGTCCGGTGAGAACCCGGCGTGCTCCGTCCCGGATTTGTAGGGATGCGTGGTCAAAGGTCTAACGACTACGGCATGCACGACTATGAGTACACCCCCCCCCCCTGTGCGCTGACTCGCAACCTTACGGTATATTATATGTACTAATAGATTATTCAAGGCGTGTGCTTGCGTGCGTGCAGTAGCATATGGGCTCCGGAGTGTGGTCCTGACAATTTAAAAATGGGGTTCGGTTCCCACCAGATGCACCAGTTTTTCATAATATCCCGTGGTGTATGCGATTTACGAAATGCTTCATATACAAGTCTCCCCTTTCGGGAGGTAGGTGGCTTGCCTCCCGGGGGCGACGCAAGAGGCCATGACCAATGTCATCGCGGTCGCATCGTTGTTCGTAACATCTCAACTTCATGACGTTCGGTAGTACCGGTTTCGCGTTCAACCTGCAGAAGAAATTGCCTGAAATTTGCGTCATGTGCAACCAACCTGTGACGGGTATTTTTTTCTCGTCGTGATTTTTCGCATGTGTGTGCGTGTTGGCTAGTGGCGTCTTTGGTGAAGGTCCTACTGCTTGCTGTAATCCACTGCGTTTGATTACTCACTCTTGCGTATTCATGTTGCCATGGTCTGTGGGACATGTGTGCGTTGCACAGGCATCATTTTGTTTTCCTGGGACGCGAAGCAGTTTAATTTTGTATTTCTTGTGAAGGCTTTTTACGCGCGGAACACATCCTCGGGGTATAGAGCCAGTTTTTTCAACTTTGGGCGTCAAGCACACGCGCCACGGCTGGATAGTGGTCCTCGGTCGTGCGCGGTATTGTGCCGACGACTCCCCCGCGTGCCCCTGAGAAGGGAGCGTGAGAAACGATTGACTTGCTCCAGCGAAGGATGTCCCGAAGCACAAAAAACAGGCGAAATGATACATATACATACTTGTATACACGAATGAATTCCAGGAGACGAAGAAGGCGAAACAAAAAGTCTCCTCACCACTCGGAATGCGGAACCAACCCTGGTCGATCGACTGTGGTAGACACTGGATAGATGTAGCTGGTCTTCTTGCTGTGGCTGGTAGTTGAGTTGTGGGAGAGAGGACGAGGGAAGGGTGAGGGAACGGAGTGAGTTGATGACGGGATTAATCAAAAAGTGAGAGAACCAAGAGCAAAAAGAATGTGAATGCTCTAGAAGTTTTATAACGAATATTCCGAAAAACATCGGAATGTTCATAACAAAAATCCCGAAAAAAACGATTACCAGTATAAGTGCTGGGTTGGCTGGATGCTAGGGAGAATGGAGGAATGAATTGATGGGCAAGGGACGGACGCGAATCAGGATGGTAAATTCTCGTCCCCGGAAAAAAATATGCTTTCCTATAATAAATTGATAACAGGGGAGAACCCATGCATGGAACCTCAACAAACGCTTTCGTAATCTTGATGCGTATCCAAGTCCAAGGGGATGACGCGAATGACCTCCCCGGGTGAACAAAAGCCTCCGAGGTCGAACACAGAGGAGTGACAACGAAAACATTTAGCTGCGAGAGGAACCAGGGAGGGGAGCCGATACCAAACATCTTTTGCATATTGTACAACTGAACTGCGATATTCCTTTCTTCGCACGTCAACCAAGCCCAGGATAAAGGAGAATGGATGGATGAAAGACTCACCGCCGGGCAGAGAGTGTTGTGCTATATTTAGTGATGATTACAACAAGGGTTGGGCATCGAGAAGAAGCAGGGGCAGAGAGGCAGAGAGGCAGAGAGAGACCACCATAGACGGGGAGAAAGGTAGGTGGACAGAAAAACGCCGGGGAGTAATATCAATATCTGCTTGCTGTCCATCATGCTGATCACGCTGATATAGGCATGGCAGTGCATGACAGCAGGATTAAGCAGTGTATATGTTTCTGGCAGTAGGTGTGATGCCAATTCCGATCGGTCAAAGTTGCAAGCTGGCGAAAATGATGAAAAATTCATCGCCACGCAAGCGGCGACCGGCAGGCAGATACATTTCGAGACTTTTCGAAACCCAACCATTACGTGCGTGTACAAAGTCTAGTCATCAATACCTGTACGCTTTCTTTTGTTCGGGATTCTTTGGCTTGGAAGCACGTCACGAGTTCAGGTACCATGCTCTAGACGTGCTTCTTCATTTCTTCTTCTCCTCTCAGCATGCTGGAGCGAGTCAAACACCGAGCGCAGCATGTGTCTCTTTAGGGCGTCACCAACCTGTAGACTGATGACTGACGTCGTGATGAATGAGAATATACAGCGAGAGATTGTCTGATCGATGATGATGTAAGGGTTTCAAAGTTATTTGGTTCCTATCTACAATCAATGTAGCCAGCAGACAGACAGCAGAGAGAGCGTCAACACAACCCACCATTGCCCAGTTTCCCAGATCATCGCCGCTGTCTCCGTTTTTGCCATCTCGCCCATGTGCATTGCCCCATCGGAACCGCTACTACCTATGGTATCCCATGCAACTCGGACCAGCATCGATGGATAAGCTGCTGACGAATGTATATTGTTGAGCTACTCTTGGTCCATGTGGTTGTCCTCTCGAACGGAGGAGCAACCTTCGTGTCACGGCACGGCAGAGTCCACATTCTGTTTCGTCGGCGGGCGTACGAATGGGTTTGCTGTACAGTAGGTACATTACATACCAGGTACCATAAATATGACCCGCTCTCCACACCGACACATCCATCCAGGGTCTGACGGTGCGATTCACCAAGGTGTAGGTTGCCCGTGTGCGTGTTGATGTTCAACGTGTGCATGCATTGCGGTGGCTAGGAGGATTGATTGGCACTGTACTTCAAGTTGCTCCGCCTGTCTCCGAAACGCAAGGTTCAGTTCTACAGCTGCACTGGAACCAATCTTTTTGCCGCAGGAGCGCGTGATCGTGTGCTATTTGTCACTTCATTTCGACTCTGTTGGCTGCCATCTTTCATGGGATTTCGAGAGCAAGCCAGTCTCTATCTCTGCCGAGACAGGCAGACAGAGCGAAATTGCACGTAAGTAAACTATCCAGTATAGGCAAGATGTAAGGTGTGAAGAAGGTGGCACCACTGTAGACGAGTCTCCCTCTAGACTACTGTAGACGGCGGCCGAAATTTTCGCATACAACTCAGACACGGAAGAAGGCGACCACCGCCGCACCTGGCCAGACCCTGTATAAGGCGCTACCTATCTATCTCAAACCCGACATAAGGCCGTGCTCATCTTTGCATCAGTATACGCCCTCGATGAAGCACCTGTTCCTCTCTGACACAAGGCACCTGAGTCGTCAGTGAACAATACAACGGCCTGTTCCTCTCTGACAAAAGGCACCTGAGTGAGTGAACAATATTTCAACGGCCGGCTTGAACTGAAGTATCACATCGCGCATGCGGAAGTCGGACACGAGACGATTCTAGTAGGCGGATGTGCACGTATGAACATATAATGTAATAAAAATGAGGACTTTGAATAGCTCCGAGTTTGTTTTGTAGAGCAATATTTTTCAATCCACTCGGTGTGTCTCTCCCCCCATCTCTCACAACGCAGACAAACCTCACAAGACGAAGACAATGTTTGTCAATCTTCTCATCGACCACGGCAACGCCCACATCGACACCTACCACGACATCGCGGTCATCTCGATGATGATGACCCCCAACAAGAAGTTCAACAAGCACGCGATGAGGCTCGTAGGGGCAACGTACAAGGTGGAGGTCCCGAACAACGGGTTGATGCACATCGGGCGGTAGCATAATATAATATAACACCACATTGCCAAGAGATGGCTGTTACCCGGCGTTAAGTATTCTGAGGCCGCCATTGCGATGAAGTGCATGGGTTGCCATGGAACATGCTCCACCATATCCGAGTATGGATTCGTGGCGCACCCAACATGTTTGGTTTGGAGGATAAGGAACGTTTCGTCAGCAGCAGCAGCAGGACCACGTGGTGCGTAGAGTTGGACATGTTTGCTTTTCTCCCCGGTGTCAGGATGCGCAAAAAAAAATCGAGAGAAAATTCAGCCACGCCATCGCCAAGGAAATACGTGGTGTTTTCCCCATGGAGCTATCCCTTGAAGGGTATGTGGAGGAAAATGTTTTCTGAGATTGAACAAGCGTAGAATAAGACCTGTGACCTGAGAAAAAAAAACGATAACAAAGAAAAAGCTTCAGAATCCGATATTCGGGCCCAGCAACGACAAACTAAGAAGGAGATCGAGATCATCACTGGCATGTCCTACAATGAATGGTCAGGGATTGATGATGACACAAGGAAGGTTTCCAAAAACAACAAGGGGAGGGGAAGTCGAGATTCCACGGTGTCACGCTGCATTCCACTCAATGTTCGTAAGTACGCCCCCCACCTCAAGACCGGGAGGGAAGCATCAATACCTTGCAGAAGTTCAAGGAGCAGTCGTGCCTTCGTGAGCACGTCCTTCATTCTGAGTTCTACGAGAACGGAGACTACCAACACTGAATCCATGAGGAGTAAGATCGACTGCCGTATCCGAGTAAAGGATATACTGGTATTAATGGAGAAGATTTCAGAATCCCACAGTACCACCAGTGAAAGGTGGGGTGATGAGGAATGTCTACGCTACAATGGGACCTTGAAGAAAGTGGTTTCGGATGGACGTAGGTAGGTGGCTCATGCCTGAGGATATGATTTCTGGGTGGATAATGAGGAATACATTGGACGATGGTTCGTTGATGAATTGGGGGGTAGGTGGCTTGACTGCATCACATACTGTAGCCATCGGAGATCGGAGATTTACGAATTTTTTTTTAGGTGCAATCAGCGTCCTAGGCTAAAGCATTTTCAAGTGATGGGTGTACTGAAGTTAAAATAGAATTTCTATGTCCAAGAGGAAGTCAATGAGTGATGGAAGTCAGTCTATGAGTTACCGAAGCTAATTGGTTACCGAACTTATTAGGGTCCTAGATCCACAAGTCCGCTATATTGTGGAAGAAGAATCGTAGCTTAAGAAGCGTGGCAGGCGAAGAAGACATAGGAGATACCTTCTTGATATGGAAAGAACTAGATTTTCAATTGGAGAATTACTGTAGTTGAAGGGACCTCAAGTCTGGAGGTGGCCCATACACCCCCTATAGTTTAGTCCCCCACTCCGGATCAGAACGACAAAAAAAAAACTTTTCCAAGACGGATACACAAGGCATCCACCCTGCTTGCCAGTGGCCACGAACACGACACAACTTTCTGTCCAGAAGGGCCTGGAGCCTCTTCAGGGCCCGGAGCCTCTTCAGACGACAAACATAAGGAGTTCGTGTTACCCGCATGTCTGAAATGTTCGTCCAAATGGTTCTCTCAAAGTAACAAAACGATTTAGATTTCGGAGTCCTTGGTGTTAGTTTTACCCAGGGTAGGAATGATTCCACCGGGCCCGTGACGTACCATCACCTTCGGTGCTTCAATAATTTTGAGATATGAAACTCTCCGGAAAAAATCCAACCTCAAAGAGATGGACCCAAACATCCCCGTCATCACCCATTGTCCCCTGCCAGGAAGTAAAAGGTACTACTACTGCTGTACCTTGCCATCGCTTGGTCGTCGCCCCACCATGCGGAATGAGGACTCTATGGTACGTTCCCGCCTCCCGCGATGTCGGGGGCAAAACCAGATGTGCGTATGTGCGCACGGGTCTACATAGGCTGCTGAAAATCAATACAAAAAATACTTGGCCGCAACCAAAATTGGGTTCTTCACGTTCCAACCTTGTGTGAGCGGTGAAATTGTCAAAACATCTTGCAACAGGTAGAAAAAAGAAAAAACAGCTTGTTCAGGCGCGCTTCAAATGACGCCCTGTAAATAAAGCGTTTGGGTTGACACCAGATCTAGGATGTTTCCCACACGTTCGAAAGAGACAACCGTAAAAACACTGCCATATAGTTTGCCATGTCCCTGTCCCACCAACATCAACATCACACCCACCCGTCACCAGCCCAGAAAAGTAAAATACTTCAAGGGAGCCACCCACCAAACGCAACGGGCATCGGATTTACCCCACATCAAAAAATTCAAATGGCGAGGTGGGCAGCGGGTATTGATGCCGCTCACCTCAACACACAGCGAGTCTCGTTTTGTCTCGAACAAATACACAAGCAGGTATCTATAAAAAAAAAAGCGAACCCGTGGACATTCTTGCGCATGTCAGAAAAAGTATATGCATGCACGCAGATGTGAGTACAAGATTTTCAAGTTACTGCCGTGAACAGCACATAAAGCTAAAGGAGAAACGACTTCCATACAAAGAACGGTGGTTTGAAGACAAGCTGCCACCCCAACTGCCCGTTCCTTTGAAAGCGGTAGTCTCGCTCGGATTTCATTGCTCAGAAACAGGCAATAGCGGCATAGCCCGACAGCGTGCCACTAGATCCCACAAAACTCCATCATCTGTGGAGATGGCGAACCTCCACCTTGTGGAGAACGCGGTCCGATAGAATATTGACCCAGCGGCAGGCGGGCATATAGCATGGTATGCCGGAACCTCTTTGCCAATCCCCGATGCCAAAATAGAGGTCATGAACTACATGACACCAAGTTGAACCGGCAGCTGTGCTGCACAATCACCCAACACATAGATCACCCAAACCCTGTAGAAGACAATAGAGAAGCTATTACGCGCACAAACACATCCATCCATCCATCGCCAGCAACACCCGAATATCAGAACAACAAGGGAGGGCAGTGCAAGCAAGAGTTACTCGTGACTAATGTTTTACGCTGCCACCTACGCATCAAGGCTGGCCTCGGAAAGACCTCGCCTTGCGGCCGCCGTCTGTCAATAATTTGTACTTTACTCTTGGTTTTACCAGTTACCCGGCCACTCATACGAAAAAGACAAACAAATCTAGACTATGCTCTCGGCACGTGGGCTACCAAACAAAAAATATTGTAGTAGAGGTAGTTGTCGAAACGAGGTAAACTCGCCCTGCCTACCAACTATCCCTCTCCCCTTCAACGTCCCTAGTGGCATCAATGCACAGGATAACCTCGAGTCGATACGATTCAAACGCAAGAGCAGCTGCCGCCGCCGCCGCCCAGGCATACTGACTAAACAGACACTACCGAAACACACCCAAAAAAACACCGGTGCCGGGGGCGGAAAGCTGCACCGAAAAAAAAAACGTGGAGATCAGCTGTCCTTTAGACGAACTGTACAAGCCCGAACCGGACCAACTGCCTCTACAAAAATGTACAGAAAAAAACGCAACAAGTTACCACCCAGGCTGCCGCTTGTCACGCGCCCGTGTATCAAACCACCGCCACACGTAAAAAAAAAAATGTACAAACCGCCAACCGCAACAAGCGAGCTTGACAGCAGCAGGAGACCTGTCGCCAGCAAAAACACGCCCCCCGCCCCTTAGGCCCTCGTCTCTCGTCCACAATTATTCCCGGGTATTGTTTTCTACATCTCTCCGCCGGATGTTATTCTCTTTTTTGGTGACCGCTTTCTCGATCGCAGAAAAAAGAAAAAGTAAGCGAGCAGAAAAAAACAACGAAAAAATATAATGTCTCTTTCGCGTGTGGGCCCGCCGGTTAGTGGTACGCATACAAGGACTCTCTCAGTGATGATGCAAAAGGCACCAGTAGGGCACACCTCCGGCACAGAGAAAACCCACACGCCTCTCGCCCCCCCCCAAGCACAACTGCTCGGTTTTTCTGTCATCGTAACACGGAGCAGAAGGTCTCGCGTCGCCAAATGGCGCAGAACGAGCCGCCGGCACACGCGTACACGCGACGGTATCACGCAATGGAAACATCGGGGCGACGATTTCTGCCGGAGGTGTTGATGCTGCCGCCGCTCTGGCTCCGGAACAAGGAGGACATGGTTCTCGTAGGCCTTCGAGATTCTCGCTCCTCCTCACGCCCATACTCCCTTCGATTTTTTTTTTTTTTTCAAAGAGGGCACAGGCACGACAGGCGCGCACGGACGGACCAATCAGGATTGAGGGAGAAAGGCGGGACGGGGGACGGAGCGTGAGGCTCCTTCCACCTCTCTGTCGTGAGAAATGCAATCAGTGGGATGTGAAACAGTCGCTTTCTCGCCCAAGACCGACGCCCTCAATTCATGCACGATTGTTGAAACACGGGCGAGAAAAAAAAAAAAGAAAGGTGTAAAAGGCTCCGCGTCGCCACCACCGTCAGCAGGTGCTTGAAGCTCACCTTGTTTCCTTTCACTCCCTATAGTAGTTGGTAATATGCACCACGGTTACAGTACAAGTTCAACGCGAGCAACGCACAAGTTCTTCTCTTTTCATCGCACAGCAACATCAGCAAAATGAAAAATTTCCTGGTGCGTGACCACGGCTGATGTGCCCAAAAACGGAGTAACTTGGAAATTTCAACGCTCTTACTTCGGCTCACTGTGCAGAACAAACCGTATGAAAACAGCAACAAAACTCGAACTGCGGAAGGTGACTGTGCTCACCGGCCGTCAACAAAAAACTTCCCCAAGTATTGCCGTTCTTCGTTGTCCGATATAAAAACACGCAAGAGCCAAACACCCAAAAATACAAAGGATAGGTGCTCACAGGCCGTGAACAAATATTCATTGTTTCTTGGGTTTTTTGTTCATTCTTCGTTGTCCGAATTACCTGGAAGAAGCGGCCGGGCGGCCGGCATCGTCTCGGGGGGAAGAGGCAAGCCACGGAAACGCCGAATACAGAAGCGCCGACGAACGGCGGCGGCGGCGGCTGGTGCTGCCGCGGCGTAATACTTGGCCCGCCTTCCTCCGCTGCGCGCTCTGTGGCGAAACGGCAGGTTCATCCGGGGGGAAGGGGGGAGGAATCGTTAGAGAGCGGCGATGAGGGAGGGAAGGGACCGTTTCCTGCGGTCACCATCCCTCCGGAACGTTTTGCTGACGTGGACGAGGCTGTGAGAGCACTCGAGGGTAAAAAATCGTGGAACAAAGGGGATGCGATCGCGATTTCTTGCAGCTAGCTCTTTCACCTCCCATCTGAAACTGATGAAAAACCAAATTGGTGGGCATTTCTTCCTAATCCCCCAGGGCGAGTAAGTCTTCCCGGTAGAAAGAACGAAAAAGTGGACGAACGAATGCGATGGCTGCTCCGTTTCCAGGAATGCCAAATTTACCTGAAAAAATATCTCCGTTGATCTCCCCGCCCTCGCCACCGTCAGACACACTACAATGTCATGCTGCCACAACTGCAAAAAAAAAACGAACCCTACCTTGCCGTGGTTGCCGACGATCACGTTACCCTTGCTGTCGAGGTCCAAGAGCCCTTCCACGTCCACGTCGGAATCGTCCCTCGGATCCCCCACGTCCACCTCTCCATCAAACTCCACGTCCGGGTCTCCCGGGAGCAACGAAGGCTGTCGGGCCGTTGTTGTGGTGTTCCAATAAGTTGAGGTGGCGTTGGAGACAAAATGCACACAGCGAACAAAAAAATCGGACTACTGTAAAGTACATTCGGAATACTGCTGCCGTATGTACATATATACCTGGACGTAAGCGGTCGGCGTGAAGGATTCCCAGGCGGGTTTCGCCCCCTCCCTGACGTTGATCTCGTTCTGCACGTCCTGTAGGACTGCCTTGTCGAGCGACAGCATGTTCGACGTCTGCCGACCAGCGTCTCGCCACCTGCGTGTGGCGGGCCGCACACGCACACGAGCGCGAAAGTCAAGGTACCGGAGAGCAGCGAAAGTCAAGGTACAGTGTACGCAGCCATTGCCCCAACGAAGTCAAACGGCACTAAAAACGTGCTTTGTGTTGTTGGCCTCGATATGAAGAGTTTGAAGGGCGCATGAAGACACGACGACCTCGCGAGACTAGTCAGCTCCTCGAAGAATAGTTGGGGCGCACGAGGTTTGATGGCAGCACCAGCAGAGCAGCGATGGTGCGGTCGTGTTGTCGGCATCGTCAAATTGGTATCCGCAAGGAATCAGAACGTGGTGGAGATGTCAAGATTGGTCAGTCCTTCGAAGAACAGGTGGGGCATGGGTATTATGGCACCGGCGACGCTCTTAGCCTCTCTCGGACACAAAAAGCGGGGCGCATCCACGTTGATGCTGCCTTCCCTCTTTAACAATCGTTTCCGGTCTCTGCTCAGTCGCATACCGGTCGAAATGACGCGGGCGCTTTCCATGGTCGGACCTTCTTCGGGAGATAAGTAGGTGTATTGAGGAAATAGAATAAGGAGGGGGGACGCAGACCGTATTCCCTGACCTTAACCCTACCTAACCCAACTTGCCCGATTGTATGTTTACGAAATCGATCAACCCTGCGAATGGTATTGCCATGGTCGCAGGCCAACTGCCACCCAAAGAGGGTCCACACCACCTAACGAACGTCAAACCGACAAAAAAAACGTGGGTTGTCTATGTAGTTGAGACAAGGAGCGAATATTTACCTACTAAATGGGACAATGAATGAATGAATGAATGAATGTAGTATGGATGAAAAAACAATAGGGTATCTACCTCGAGGACGAATAGAGAACGACCAGTGGCAGCGGGAGCAAGAACGGCCACTGCCGGAGCCCCTGTCGGATCGACATGTACCCGATCAAGGTAACCTGCCCCGCCACGGCTCCGACCACCAACTGTCGGAAAAGAAACCGAAAAAAGGACAACAGGCGCACGAACGTAGCAGAATGCGACAAGAGGCGTGGTCCGAGTTTAGGGTTTGTAGTCATCCATTGCCATTCAAACTGAACGGGGTCTGGAAGTGGACCGATCTGACGTTCGCAGAAGTGGTCTCGGTTGTTCTGAAATATTTCCGGCCACACGAATCACGCGCTACGATTAGCCAAAGCGATGTCGCACGGGGACGGCTAAGCCAAACGCGCACACAGCACAACAACACGTTGCGTGATCCATACGGCAGTTGCGCCGCTCAACACCCATCCAAACGACGCGTGTACGCACGGTTGTGCGGCTGCGGGAAAACATGGCCAAGAAGTGGGACACAAGCGACGTAGGCAAAGCAGTAACCAACCATCACCACCTCCGCAGACTTGAAACATTCATTCGCCATCGCGCGCCAGCACAAACCGGCCGAGAACACCAGGCGCAACAAACAGCAAACAGCAAGCCAGCAGCGGTGCCAAGCGGGCATCAGGATCCCCAACGGAGCCACGCCATACTGACCTCGCGGTGGCAGTACTAGTAAGTAACAGCGATGCTCGCGATGCACACACCTGTCGGAAGAGCTTGTGGAAAAACAGACCCCCGGACTCGTACAAAGGCCAGTAGCAGTGCAGCAACTGGAAACACAAACAAAAAAACGAGCGAGGCAGAACAAGTGGGCGGGAGCAAACACAAGGGGGTCGAATTGAACATTTTGTCGTACAATGCGCGCGAGACTGGGGTTACAACACTGCTTGTGTCAAATCGAGAGGTGTGGGTGAGTAAAGATCACTATGGCACCACATCGTAGGTTGTGAGGGGAACCGGGAGGGACAGACGGCTGGAGGATTCAAAGATTCAAAGAGTGAACACAGGAAAAAAAAAGTCCGCCCACAAGAATGCTGCTCAACATTGAAAGAAAATGCGAGACAACGAAACGCGTAAATTGCTTTGTTGGCAGCGCGCACGCGGAGTTGTTTTCCTCCCAGCACTTTTCCCGCTGGCCCGGGTCAGGGCGCGGGGTTTCCGGGAAGTATGCCGCCCGTGATACGTGAAAAGTTAGCAATCGAAATCAGTGTATATGGTTCAGATGTATCCCGATCCCAAACGTACACGGGTAACCAAAACCAACACTCTACGCAAAGCGCTATATCCAAAGCTCCTACAAATGTTCCTCCAAGCAGTCACCGGGGCCTTCATACGTAACCACGCGTTGCAAACTCCTGTGAAGGAAGGCCAGCTTACCGTATAAAAAAGATAGTTGTGCATGTGTCATGTGTGTTTGTTGGTGCAATGTTGGAAGGGAGATTGTGCCAGGAAAGAAAAACACGAACGCGGCCTATCTAACCCAAAGCGAAGAGGGCGCCACAAGAGCGCTAATAGGCAACCGGTCACAGTACCCGACCTCTCGCCCTTGTCACCTGATACTTGTAGATAATCTCGGCGAAGATGAAGTACAGCAGGCCTGCTACCGCCACGACGGGCGCGATCACCTGACGCGAAAACAAACAATGCGGCAGCGGAAATAGAATTTTGATATTTGGATGCATATATATATAGTCAGAGTATGTAACGGAAACATGAAAGGAAACACTCACGATACTCAATCAGAGTGGTAGATCTTGTAGGATCACACCAAGGAAAGCCGGCTACACACCGTCGGAGAAATCGAGGGACAGAACGGGGGAAGGCATACGACGGGTCCTGGAATATCGGAGTCAACAACAGCATCAGCGTCAGCAACCACACCAACGCCGCCATGACTATTAGCTCTGGCGCCACTACAAACAACGACGGACCAACAACCAGCAACAATCGTGTGCAGCAGCGGCGACAGCTCCGAGAACAACAGCAACAACAACAGCAGCAACAGCAACAGCCCCGTACCTGCTACTCCTACTCCTACTCCTACTCCTACCCCTACGACGACAATGGCAACAACAGCAGCAACAGCAACAGCATTGTGTACCTGAAAGGTAAACACAATGAGCATGATGAGCAGGAAGTCGGCGAAGAACCTCCCGTACCACGGCTCCGACGGCTCGTACGCGCCGCGCGTCTTGCCCGCCTTGGTTCTCAGCCTAAGCACGCCCCCCACGGAGACGTACACACCAGGCAAGGGTGGAAACCGTCAGGTAAACAATCGATACATCGGTAGATCACGGGACGCGCTAGGGAAGAAAAAAACAAGACAGAAAATTGGTATTCAGGGTGGCGAAGCAAGGTAAGTCACGGTCGATCGTGACTTTGAGATTCGAAACAGAAGTTCGAAGAGAGAGGTACTTCATAAGTGAAGAGAAACTGAGAACCACAGGCGGCAATCACTGGTCGAACCAAGATAGAAACGATACGCGTAGGGAACACGATTGTATTCGAGTGAAGCAGCACGATAATACTGGTGTCATCGTATCTTGTATTTTCATCATGTTCCGTGATTGGCGGAGACAAAGAAAGACAGAGAGGGAGAGAGGGAGTAGGGGGGGACAGAGTTCCAGAGAGAGACAGAGAGAGAGAGGCCACATATCAGAAACGAAAGCGACAACCCCTCCTTCCCAGCTTTCCGACTCATACCATCCGTCCTACCCGGGATCGGTGAAGGTCTCGGCGATGAGGATCCTCCAGAACTTGAGGGACCGACCGCCGAAGCACAGCTCCAGAAGCAGGCCGGTCACCACCTTCACGATGATTAGGTTGATGAAGTACACCGCCACCTTTGGAACCGTCTCCCCCAGCACGTTCAGCAGCTCTCTCGGCTGCTGAAGGATTTTCTCGATGGCCTTGTGGGGGGACGGGTTTTCGGGGAAAGGCAGGGAAGCAACCCGTTCAGTCTCTGTAGGTTATCAGCCCCCCCCCCAGAGGTAAGGGTTTCAAGGGCCTCCGGAGTAGAGTCGCATTTGTATCATCAAGAGACCGCAAAATAGAACTTGAGCAGGGCGGTTCGTCTTGGACTGCAGACGGTTGGTCTCGCTTTCGTTGTCTCACTTAGCTACCACCACAACGCCGACCACAACCACCACCACAACAACAACAACAACAACAACAAACAACAAATGAACAACGACCACGACGACGATAATGACAACCGAAACAACACAGTGGCCACGGTCAAGTCAGAACTACGAACAGAAGCGCCGCGAACAAGGCAGTCCCTCACATCCTTGATGGAGCCGGCCCCGATGGTGACGAAGACGTTGGCGAGCTGGTAGAAAAAGTAGCGGCTCATCACCGCCCTCTCCACCTCGCTGTACGTCTTGTACCCCTCCAGGTGCAAGGCCATCCACTGGGGATGATGACGCAATCACGTGGAAAGGTGGTTTCTTGCGTCAATTTACTTTACGAAACTTGTTGCCGACGAAGGTCTCGAGCAACATCGAATGCAGCGCATCAAACAAATCGATACTGTGCATAAAGTAACCGTCTGACCCCTTGGAGTATTGACACACACATGCCCATGAGAACATATGCGTATGGCATTTTGTGTTTCCCCCCGTCGAAGAAGAGCAGGAGAAGTTACAACTAGAGTTGACAGGCCTCCCAAAAACCAACATGATAGTTGTCGGACCTCCAAATGTTTCAACCTTCAGGGACAACAAACATCTGGACAATCGAAAAGTAATAAATGCGCTGTACATAAAACCCATTCCGATGACGTCCCACTTCGTTCGCGGTCAACAAGACATGTCCTTCGTGTTGACACCAAGCACCCGCTTGTACTCCCATGATGGCCATCGCACACGCACACACATGAACAGGTCCTTCGTGCCCCGTCTCGGTAGATCCCTGCCGTTACAAACCGCGTTCGCGTGTTCTACCCCCGCAATAAAAGGACTGGCGCATGTCCATTGATCAATCGGTGAGCGCGGTCGATGCCAAATCCAAGCGACGCACACGAATGAATATCTGTAGGATACTACAGTCGGGCAGGGTGATGTGACACACACGAAGAAGTACTTCCAGAGTAAAGTAGAGCAGGTAGGCGATGACTATGGAGGATGGCGACCAATCCACGAGACACACACGATAGAAAACCTCCAGTAAGCGGGTTGATGACGAGGAGGAACAGGATGGGAATTAACCCGAGAGACACACGAATGAGCACCTTCAGAATAAAGTAGAGCAGGTTGATGATGATGAGGAGGATGGTGACGGGTAGGTAGGCCTCGAGGAGGGAGGTCAGGAACGTGTTCTCCTCCGCGGCCTTCTCCACAGCGGGAAACACCTGTCCATTCCGTTCCGTTCCGTTGGAATATTTCCAATTATTTGTTCACAATTCGCTTCACGACCCATTTCACAATTTATTTTCACGACTCCTTTTACAGTTCGCTTCACAAATCATTCAACTCATTTCACGATCCAATTCACAAGTCATTTCACAATGCGGTTCAAACTCCGGTTCACTATCCACGTCACAAATCATTTCGCAGTTCACTTCAATTTTCTTCACCAAAGCTTCACAGTTCATTCAACATCTACAAGAGCAGAGGAGAAAAGGAACCCACGAAGTACGCATGCACAAAAACACGAAAGTCGCACGGTATTGTCAGTTGCGACGGGCACGCGCCTTTTTCTTGGTGAAAATAAATCGACACTAGGAGAAGACAAAAAACGCTAGTCGGTTTTGCGGCGCGTGCAGGACGAGACCGCTGCGTCATCCACCAGAACCTGAGCACTGCAGCACGATGAATAAGATGACAAAGACGGGGAGGACCTTTCTTCTCCAAGCATCACCACAAATAAACACGAGGCTTCCTGATGCTTTCGTACCTGACTGCGCTAGGTGTTTTCAGCTCGCTAAACATTCACGTGGACGTTCACTGTTTCCCTACGCTTCGAAGTACAGAAATACTATAAAAGAATTTCTTGCATGAACGAACAAAACAAATTGGTATCCGACGAGAAAAAAAAACACGAATCCGGATTCTCAACGACACGCAAGCTTCAACGCGGTTCGGTTTCTACGAAAATCACACACCCAAAAGCTTTCCTGCACAACAGGAACCTCTCTACACCCCCGTTATCCCCGTCCTTTCGAACAGCAGCACTGCTGTACCTGAGCGATCGTTTCCACCTTGGACAGCGTCTGGATGCCAGACACAACCACCGACCAGAAGATAATGCCCAAGGCGAGACCCAGGTTCACAAACCGATTCCTGTTCTGGACGTGGATCACGTGGTTCGTCACGTTTTTCCTGAGCCATGCATATTTGCGGCGGGGCGTCCGTCATGTGCGCTTCAGTTGCCGCGTGCGGAAATTTGGGTGGGATCATATCACGATTTTCGTTTGAATTTTATTATAAGGGGTGGAAAAGGACGAAACCAGAAAAATTGTCGTCAAAGGGATAGGCCCGCGGAAAGAGGCCAACTACCGGAAGGGGGGCTTCGTCAGATTCAGCACGAGGCCAGGGAGGGGGGGGCACGAGTTGGGAAAGCACTCCGCAAGCGGGGGCGTGGTTGTCGCATGGAAAAGAGGGCGAAGGGGCCCCTGTTTTTTTTTGCCTTCCTGCCTGCCTTTCTCGGTGCCCCTTTTTTTCCCACTTTTTGTTTTTTTTTTTCCCTTCCCCCCCCCCCCCCCCCCCCTCTCTTTCTCTATCCCTCTCTCCCGCAAAGATTTGTTGGCATCTTGGACAGTAACGACATGCACCTCCGAATCTACGGGGGATCCAGGTGCCTTTCAAGTTTCAGCATAAATATGCATATGAGTAGCGTCACATGTGCGGTAAGCAATAACCTAGCTATCCCCCAACCGCGTCCCATCCCCAACACCCCCTCTCTCACCATACGATGTCGCGAGGCTCCGGTGCCGGTGTGAGATTGAACACCTCCGGCCGGTTGGTGACAAGGGTAGACACGGCGCAGGCGCGGCCAGAGAGGCACTTGAAGGTCACGAAACCGGTTCCGGACATGCCTCCAGCCTTGGTCAAAACCTGAATCGGGCCGAGAAAAAAACAGTTGGTTTTTCGTCATGTGTGGTACGAGGTTGTGGGGATCAGGCAGCCGAACGATATAAGAAGGACACGCCATCAGTTATGCCACCACGGCCATCAGTGCTTCATGGGGAAAAAATGTGTCGGTATTTTTTTTGTCTTGAAAATCGATCTCGAACCTCCATCCTGCATCCTCGTAGCCGTATCAGTCCAACCTCTAACGGTATCTGTTGTTTCGCTCGCTCTCAACATTTTCAAGAAATATCGCGAACGCGCTGACGAGCGGGAGGTAGGAAGCATTCCTTGTCTCTTCTTCATTCCACGAGCATCCTCGAGGTGATTGCTAGATCCTGAAACATCAGATGCTCCCGACCCCCGACCCCCTTCAGATGACAGGTTCTCAAGCAGTTGCTGGAATTTGGATCTGTGGGTGTGGCAGGTGTCCAGAGCTGTGAAACCTTACACTGTCAGCACGCAAAGCCATCGCGGTGTTTACTGCATACTGCATACGAAGCACCAACTACAAATAGCCAACAACACCAACACCAACAACACCACCAACAACGACGACGACAATTGAGGAATGCAAACATAGAACGGCGAATCCTACGTGCCGGATTGCCAACGTGTAGACCCCTCAAGCACCATAAGATATGGAGATACACATGTGGACACAAAAATATTCAAACCCCCTCATGTTGTTCGTGATCGAGGTCGGCAAGTCCCGACATGATCGAGGTCGACATGCACAGACGTTTTCAATGTGGACGTGTACAGACATTATCGTCGACATTGTACAAAAAAAGTGTTCCGAATCCTGAAGAGAGTCAGTCACCTTGACAGCGTCCGCCACCTCGCTGACGCTCTCCCCGACCCCTCTCCGGAGATCATTCACCGTATCCTTGACGGTATCCTTCACCTCGTTCACTCCTCGCTTCATCTTGCGGCCTGTTCTCACCGCTCGCTCTACACAACACATTGGCAAAAAAAATGGGACGGAGAGTTGGTGGTGCGCAAACGGGGTCGAAAAGAGAAAATATGGCATGCGTTCCGTTGGACCCATCCACACACACAAGGACAAGGAAAAAATAAAAATGAGAATAATAAGAGTTGTTGATGCGGGCGGGGGGTCCTAGAAAAAAAAAAAACTGCACGACATGCGGTCGGTCGGTCGGTATCAGGACGTGAGAACAACGAGCCTCCAAATGTCGGCTGAACATCTCCATCTCTCTCTACCTTTCAGCCTGTGTCCCTCCGGTTTCTCTGCCTCTCCCCCTCTCTCCTAACCCTAACCCTAACCAACCCTAACCCTAGCCTTAACCAACCCTAACCCTAACCTTAACCAACCCTAACCCTAATCCTTAACCAACCCTAACCTTAGCCTTAACTAACCCAAACTAACCCTAACCAACCCTAACCTTAGCCCTAACCTCAACCAACCCTCTAACCCTAACCCTAACCCTAACCTTACCCTAACTCTCGCTCTCTCGCTCTCTCTCTCTCTCTCTGTCTCTCTCTCTCTCTGTCTCTGTCTCTCTCTCTCTCTCTCTCTCTCTCTCTCTCTCTCTCTCCCTCTCTCTCTCCCTCCCTCCCTCCCTCCCTCCCTCCTTCTCAGCTCACTTGTCACTCCGGAGTTGACGTTCATCAGCCCCTGTCGCACACCCTCCCTCACCGCCGCAGACGCGTCTCGCATCGTGTCTCCTGGTGGCCGAGGTATCGACCCGCCGTTCCACTTTCCCGTTGGCCTGGGGGGAAGAGTTGTTGTTGTTGTTGTTGTTGTCGTTGTTGTGGTTGTGGTTGATTGAGATACGGTTGTTGTTGTCGTTGTGGATGATACTGTGGTGGATGCTGCTGCCGCTGTTCTACTGGTGGTGCTGTTGCTATTGCTGACGCAACGTTTGTCTGCAATATGTAGGGATGAACGGCGTAGGTCGTTCCCCGACCAGCCAGCCCCCTCAACCACTGCCTATATCCCGAACACACAACGTAAGCTGCTCCACAAACTTGTCATCTCTTGCGCACCACTACATATCACCGTTAACGATGGGGTCATTGTTCCCCAATAGTTTCAGGGTGCGGGGCGTTGTTGCCCCGCAGCGTACCTTCATCAGTCCGCAAAAATAGGCTACACAACTCACTCACACCCCACCTCCCATTGTCCGAATCGGTTCCGCCGCCGCCGAGCCCCGCCTCCATCCCCTCCATGGCATCCCACTCCTCGTCCCACGGCATGAGAGGCTTCTCGGGAGACACCGCACTCTCCGAAGACGTCGCCGCAACCCACCGAGCGTCCCCGCCGACCCTCCGCCTCGCCGTCGCAAGCGCCGCCGAACGCTGGCGGCTTCCCTTCGTAGCGCCGCCGCCGCCGCCGCCGCCGCCGGTTTCGGGGTTAGAGCTGGGCGTAGCGGCGCCAGGCGGCCTCCTGCTGCGGGGGGAGATCCGACGCCGGTCTTTGGGCGAGGCGAGCGCGAACGAGGATGGCGATTTCGGGGAGGAGGAGGAGAAGTCGCCGCCGTTCTCGAGGCCGGTGCCTGATGACACCCGGGTCTTGGCTGGCGACCGACTTCTCCGTGAAAACTGGTAGGTAGGTACATGATGAACCAGGGAGTTTATTTTTTATTGTTCGTCGATGTCGCATTAAGGAGGACGAGAAGGAGCGGGGAACATGACGAACAAAAAACATGGTAATTGCGAGGGGGAAAGCACGCCAGGGAGGTTTTTGTTTGGCGGTACTGTACAGTATCGCATGATAAGGCACGAAGAGCGGAGGATGAAAAAAGCAATAAAGCACGGAAATTGAGAACGAAAAGATATCGCACAACTGAGATACTACACCACCAACACCAACAACACCAACAAAGACACCAACAACCACCACAACAACGACAACACCAACACCTGGTCGACAGGTCAACTCACCAGCGCAGGAAACGGCGTGAGGGATCCCTTCTGCCGGCCCCTCGTACGCCCGCTGCCGCCGCGGCGCCGCACGCCCTCCCTGCCCGCGCGGGCCGGCGACGCCCCCTCCTGCTCCTGGCGCGGCACCGCGTCTCCGTCGGCCGCCACGCCCCTGGCGCTATGTCTCAACAACGCCGCGTCCGATCGGCACCCGCTAGACGACACCGAGTAGGAAGTTCGGGAGTTTTTGGGGGATTGATCACCGTTGTCGCCATCAACGCCTCCATCTTCATCCGAAAGGGAGGCCCGGTGTAAGCTGGGAGAGCTAGGCACGACGCCGCTCTTGCTCTTGGCCTCGCCGCCCCTGCCCGTTGGGGGTGTTTCGGACCAGTTTCTGACGGCACTACTCCCGTTGCTGCTATCGTCATGGTCGTCGTCCTCGTCGTCGATGTACCTCGGGAGCTTGCTCCGCGGCAAGACACCTGCTTCAGACGGCGGTGACCCCGCCGCCGCCGCCGCCGCCGCCGCCGTTGGTGCCGGCGGCGGTGACAAAGCGTTCAGCGCCTCCTCCCCCCTTGCCGCCACCTTCTCCATCGTCTTCTCGCCATCGGACGAAGGCCACCTTGCCACGTTCTGCGCGCTCATCAGCGAGTCCGAGGTATCGCCCATGTCGTCCGCCTCCTCCTGGCCCTCCCGAGCCGGTTGCTCTTCCCCACCCGGTGACTCAGCACCCCTTCCCTCCGCATTCTGCGGATGCCCCCCCCTGCCCCTTCCCTCCGAGTCTCCGCGCGTTCGTCTGTGTCTCGGGGCCGGGCTTCTGCTGCACCTCCGTCTGTCATCGCCACCGGCAGCGGTTCTCGTGCCCGACAGGGACCGCCTGCGGGGCTGGTCGAGCATCTTCACCCCCCTCCCGCGGCGGCGGCTGTCACTGTTGTAGCCGTCGCTAAGCTCATCCTCGTCCTCGACCTCAGAGTCTCGCCGCCGGCCTCTTCCTCTTCCTGCCCCTCTTGCCCCCCCCCGCCCTCCTCGTCCTCCTCCTCCTCGTCCTCGTCCTTCTTCTTCTCCTTCCCCTCCTTCTCCTTCGACCGGCTCCACGACCGTAGCCGGCACCGTGGCACCACCTTCCCCCGTCGCGGAGCCACCGGCCACTATCCTGCGCCCAGACCGGGTGCGCCCGCCACCTCCCACGCCACCCTCACGGCTCCCGTCGCGCCCAAAACTCCTCCGGTCGACGTGCGCGCCGGCGTGGGTGGCGTAGACCGCGTCGCTGACGCTTCTGCGACCACCACGATGGCCGCCGCCAGCGGCGGAGGCGTCGCCGCCAACGCGAACACCTTCTCCTCCGGCCTCGGCCGACGACCACCGGCGGCTCTGGGCGGCGGCGGCCGCTACCGCCGGCGGCAACCGCCTCGGGGAAGAGACGCTGAAGAAGGAGCTCGCGATCGAGTCGGTGGGGCTGGCGACGGGGGCGTTCTGGAAAACCTGCCTCCACGGCATGGCGGCGGCGGCTGCATCGCCGCCACCGCCGCCGTGGGTACTGCCGTAG